TTTGTATTTGCGAATGATATTAGTCTCCCATGTGTCCTCTCTCATGTCTGCATGAATGGCTTGCACATCCTAGGAAACTGGAGAGCAATTCAGATCATACTGAGGGTCAACACATACTGGGTGACCAGCTGAATTTGCCAGTTGGGCTCTCTTAACTCAGAATCACCCATGTAGGCATTGACACTTGAGGTGCCGTACGCTGACTGGAATCTCACCCTATCTCCACTGTGCTTTAGCCACTGGCACTTAACACCCCTGGCTATTGATTACAGAAGAAAAAGTTAAATTCAGCAAATGGTTCAGATCTTACAGGTGACTGTATTATAGGCAATTGGTTATTAGCAACATATAAGTGATAAATACTGTTTCATTTGAAGTGTTTCTGCTGTGGTGTATAGTTAGCTTTTGTGTTAGTTGACTTTTCCACACTGCTTGACAGTGCTGCGTCACTCACTTGTGTTGTTGTCACCTGTTCTCCCAGCATATCCTCATGCAATTAGAAATGAGGCAAAAACCCTAATCATAAACTTGTTAAAACATGAACTTAAAGTTGGCATTCCTCACAGTCTCCATTATCTGAGGTGGCATAACTTTAGGTATAAACCAGAATTTTCCAGCTGGTGAGAATTTATGCTGTGAGTGACTGAATACTTTGAGGGTAAATTTCAGATGAATTCTGTCAACAGTGACAAAGTGCTTATTGTTTATTGCAGTCTACCAATCAAGTTAAGCTAATGCAACTACAACGTGCAGCAATTTTTAAGGATGCCAGTGGAGGCTTTTGCAGATTATTTTAAATTGTGGCAAAGTCCTGTCAGGATGGATTCCAATTTAGTTTTTCTAAAATAGTCAATAAAAACAAAATCTGTGCAGCTCTAAACCACCAAAGTATTTAAAAATGTAAAGCTTATATTCTTTTAGTTCATCAACTAGACATGCATTTAAATTATAAGCTTGTTTTGTACATTTTCTGATTACTTAGATTATATTCTGCAAAAGCTTATCTGAAGTGAATATATAAGCAGTGCACAAAAAGTCCATTTAAACATGTGCCTTTATCAGTTTGCTTTTACATAATTAACTTTGTGAAACTTAAGAAATTATTTCCACTTTGGCTTTTCTGTTTTATACTAAAAATCCTTTTGTCTTAAAAGTAATGCATGTCTTTTATGTTGGTTTGTAAACTTTACATTCAAAACATTCTTACAGCATATATATGTGTATGGGGTTTTTAGTTGTTTGTTTGTTTGTTTTTTGGGTTTTTTTAAGGAACCAGGAAGACCAAGGTAGCAAAGAAATGTCCAGATCAGCTCAATATGGTATTTGTTTATCCCTGCAGAAAAGGAATGTAAAGCATTTTATGGCTAATTAAGGATATTTATACGAATAAATTGTAGGACTGCCTTCTAAATCCCCAAAGTCTTGTTACCCTCAGATCTCTCATGAATCAGAGTTTAGCTGAGTCAGAAGTCATGTTAAATGAGGGGTTTCTAGAGCTATTTGTTGTTTTAACAGGCAACAGAAGGAAAACCTTTCTTCTCAGTTTATTTCTTGAATGTCAGTGTTCTCACATATTTATTTACACTTTTCTTACCTTTCTGATAAACATCTTTGGTAAGTAAGTGATACTGTTCAAGTTTTTGTTGTTAAAACAGACTTCATCAGTGATACTGTGCAGATTGATAGGACAGTTTCTGTTTCTTGGGAATAGACAGTCATGTGTAGGAACTCTAGCAAATTGTAGAAGAATTTCTATAAAGTTGTAGTTCCTGAGTGATAACATAATTCTTAGTCCTAGATTTTTCTTGCTTTAGAGAAGATCCTCTTGTTGCTATCTGTATAGAAATTCTTACTTCAAACATTCTTAAGTGATAGAAATGTTTTGATACAAAGTGCTCTTAAGATGGTAGGATTGTGTTCATTGGACTTCGCTTATTTGCTGTTTCTTTTTGTAGTTTTGTCACCTCTGCTCATGGATTTTAACAAGTTAGACTCACAGGGGCATGATACCATCATACTAGAAATGAATTCTGAGTTAATTATTTTTCTAGGTTTAATACACTGCTGTATGTATTTAATAACTACAAATTTCCATCATAGAGAGCAGTGGCTCAATAAAGAGTGCTGAATCTTGAGTGTATGTCAGTCATGTTGTCACTAAATTTAGCACATACTGTGAACCCATGTAAGGATTTTCTGCTTTCTGTAATTGACAGATAGCCCTGAGTTTTTGATGTCACAGTTTCTGAAAAATAATACCTTCTGCAGTGGAAGTAGAGAAATATTAAAAGAAATACTAAGTGGTATGTCCTGAGTAACTATATCCTGGGGACTGTGTACATGCCAAGGGCTAAATGCAGTCAATAGTGACTTCTTTTATTGATTTTCTCACAAATTTGTTCAGTTCTGTTACCTGTTAAGCTGTACATTAGAATAATCCCCCATTCCCAAGTTAAATTTTCCTTAGAGAATATGTTCTTCACTTTTTTTTTTTGTGAAATCACAGTCTACTGGTCCCTTGTGATAAGTGATAAAAAGGTATTTTCAGGTTAGTTCAAACATATCTGGTACATGGTTTCTGTATAGGTATCTATTTTATATAAATATGTATTTATGCACACTTATAAAATGTATTTCTTCAGCATGAACCTTATTTTTCATTTTAAGGAGGCTGTGCCCTTTTCTTTGTTCCTTTATCCTGTAACTTCCAGTCTTCAATTAATTTGTTTTTAACTGCAGTATCTGCAGTTTTATAGAAATGCAGTTGTGGTTCACTATTCCAGTATCCATGATGGTTTTCTTGTCTTAGAAACTGTCAATGGTACTTAATGCGTCACTTGAGTTAGAGCATTCTATCCTTAACTGAAGACCACAAGCTAAAATAAAATGAGAAATAGTATATTTTCAGATAGAGAATAAGTGTGTGTGTGTGTGTGTGTGTATATATATATATAGATACACTTATCATTTTTTTCAATATATTTTTTACTGATTACTGCTTACATTTCTACTTTACTTCCATTCTGGTTTTATATTTATTACTGTTACAATTTTGAGACAGCAAATTGTAACTGGAAATAGTACTATATGTGAGAATATGCATAAAACCATAGGTGGATTGAACATGGTAGAAAGATTTAAGAAACGTGAAAGTAGAAGTAAACAAAAAAATGAATTGATTTGTAACCATTTATTGCCTTGATAGTGTATGTCTCTTGGAATAATTATTGTTCTGGGTTGCTTTGGGTAAAGAACACAGGACACTTCAGCTGTGCAAACCACAGAACATCTGCCTGCCTTTTCCAGACTTCATAGGACATCAGTTGTCATCTTGCATTTATTGTCGCGAGGTTGGCCCCTTGCTACCAAAGTCTATTATCCTGCATCTGTATAGTTTCCATCCACACAATCCATTATGTATTTTGTGGGTTCTGCCTGTTGATCCAGCCTTTTAAGTCAATTCTGCTGAAAGCACCTCCACTGAAAAGAAAGGAAAGATTACCTGTAGCCATAGCTTCTCTGATCTGTGGTAAAGGTGTTTGCTGTTTCTTGGTCTCTTCATCTGATGGTGTAAACCAGCAAAGGCCCACAAATCTTGTTGACTTCACTGTAGAGTATAATGCATGATAAGATGTACTCAGCATTGAGAGGGTGGCACAGGGTCAGTCGTTGGTGTAGCCAAATGACATGCCGTTGTTTTGCAAAAAATAGATTTTGAGAGATCTTCCTAATGGTAAGGCCTAGGAATTACTGGGTCCTTGTTGAATATTCAGTATAAATGCCCAGCTCTGAGAAAATTAGTTGTGTAGGCTCTCAGGCTGACTTTAATTGCCAAGTAGATTTGGGTTTTTTTAAGCCCTATTCCAAACAGTTTTCTGTAGCATTTTATATCACTAAGCCTCCTGAAATGTATTAAAACCTTGAATTCACTCCAAGGCTATTTGTTACATTTAATAAGTTTTGTGTCCTTGGACAAGGAAAGGAAAAATTTTGACCAAGATATATCCAGTCCTCTTTGAACTTATAAAAGCATCTTGATATCCTATTTATAAATTACAATATTCAGCATATGTGTGAAGAATTTTTTCATGTTTATTGGTTTATGCTGTAATTTTCATATTTCAGTTTCTTATTAAGTATAACACATTAAATATTTTTAACATTATGTAAACATTAAAATATTTTCCTCACATCTATATTCTAATGCAAATACCCCATGCCAAATGAAAGACTATTCATTTTTTTAAAAAGCAATTGTTACTTATTTTCTAATAAATTAATAAATAAATTAATCTGCAATATCAGAGCCAAGGATGAGATAATGAGGGAACAGTTTTAAGCTTATACTGAAGTGATTAGATTTTGGGGAACAGGGTAGAGGGAAATATTATACAATGTGACTTAAAAATTCATCCACTATTTTAAGGGAGTTTTGTTGGTGTTTAAGTGTTCTCACCGAGCTCTTTCTTTAACCTCTCAATTATTATTTTGCCTGTCTTGAAACAGAATACAGTGACAGTATTTTGATAATGAAAGACTGTCAGGTATCATGTTAGCTTCTACATGTGCTATCCCTGTCCATGTGATTTGCAGCAGCTTAAAATATTTCCTTGTGAGTCTTTCTGCACAGCTTAATGTTCCCCTCACGTGATCAAAACGAAAGAACAAAGATAAATGAACAATGAATAAGTATGTTCAAGATAAGAATTTTTATTTGAGTTTAAAATTGTTCTGTTTCCTGTTTTCCTTTGTTCTCAAGAGAACAGGCCTTGTTTTAATAAAGGGTGAATAATGTCAGAACTCTTAGGATCCTGCATTTTTTTCAGTTCCTGGTTTTACCTGAGTTATACATCACATGTCCAGCATAGACTGAATTATTTCATTGTTCTGATAGTTACACAACATGAGGCATTTAGAGCCCTCTAAAGGTATCAGTACGTATTTTACTTTTCCATACACCGAGCTCTGTGATACAGTCTTTTATTTATTTTCTTTTACAGATTCCTTACAGCCTTTCCTGGAAGCCTGCAGTAACGAATGCTTCTTCCGTACTTGCTCTGTATTGCTTCGAAGTTCTAAGCTAGATATTCAGATTTTGGAAAAGCTCTGTGTTATACTGCAAAAGCTCTCCAGAATAAAGTAATCCTTTATTGCCGTTATTCTGTTAGTTATTATTGGATCAGCAAACCTGTGGACCTTTATCTTTCTCCTTTTTCAAAAACTCATCTCTATTTTGCTATTTGCTCCACCATAGACAATCCTGGACTTTCTCTGTTAGCAGTTAAATTTAAACTGTTTGTGTCACAGATGTGTAAGACAGGACTCTCAGTTTGCTTGTAAATCCATCTAGTTCAATTTACAGAATACAAAGTAAAAACAAAAGAAAACAAAAACAAAACCTAGCCTAAAAAGGTAATATTCCTTATGTATGCAGATGGCAAGAATGCTGATAAGAGAATCCTTTTCTTTCCCCCTGATCTTCATTTTCACTGGGATACTTGGTGGTAATCTCCTTTGAAAATTTAGCCTCATCTGTGGTATGCATTCAAGTTTCATCAGTTTTCATTTTCTTCAAAACCAAAAGTTAAAGTCTTGAGCCATTTAAGCCCTTTTGGGAATGTTACTCTTACGTTGCTTACTGGTTATTTCTTGTAACAAAAGTTGTCATCATATCAGTAGTAATGTGCTGCTGAGCTCCATTGGTGCATTACTTAATGGGATTGTTTCATTTGCAAAAGCAGGTATCTAAACTGAGCCATTTTTTCCATTAGACTTAAAGTTATTGACAAAACTGATATTTTAATTTGAGTTTATTAGGAACAAAATTGAACTCTAAGAAAAAAATATGTTTTCTTGTAAAATAATCTAGTATAAATCATAACTTACATCGGAAATACACTAAAAGTAAAATTTGCTCAGAAATCTTAATTATTTAAAATTTTTTATTTGTTGTTTCTGGAATTTCACGTTAGTTACAGCCTTTCCTTGAGCTTTCATTGTACTACATGTGACCACTTACTCAAGTGAAATGATAGTTTTTGGTGATTTTTGCCAAGATTTTTCTCACCATGCATTGATAATCTTTTGCTTAGAGACATTATATGCAACGTAGAAAAATTATATGAAACTCCCAATATAATGCACATTTTTATTCATTAAAAATAATTTTCTTTAGAATCTTCAGTGTTTAGACAAAACCTCTCAATTTTTAATTCCAATTATTTTATGTCAAATCTTTTGCAGAAGCAATAAGAAGATGTTTGAGTTGTTTGCTCTTCACCAAATGATCCAAGAACTGCATAGGACTACAAATCCAGATCATGCTTTCCTCTGCATAAACCTCAATTCAATTCTGTTGAATTTGGGATTGTCAAGGAGTAACTCTCTTACCTCCATTCTAAGCACAAGTCATTAGCGCTATCTTTCAATCTAATTATTGTTCTATATAATTTATATCAACTGCCTAAGTTACTTGATTTTTTTTTTTACTGTTTTCTAAATAAATTAAGCAGAACCTCAGTACTGTATAAGTTACTCTGTATCATGTGGAATCTCATTGATATTTCCCTCATTCATAAAAAGGAAGATGAAAAGTTGCATAATATGCTAAATGGCTTTCTTAAAGACTTTTTAAAGAAGTTAAATAATGTTGTTCTGAATGACTTGTGCAATCTAAGGAATTGGATGCCTTGAGTAAAGCAGATCAAAAATACCTTTTAAAGCAGATCAGATCATACCTTTTCTTGCAGGTATGAATCTTCATTACCTTTTACTCTTCTTTTATAAATTCATTTATTTATTTTATGTTTGATATGTAACAGGCAGGTATCTTATCAAATTATCTTTTGAGATAATTACAGTTTTAATGATTAAAACCAGATTTTGATTTAACATAACTAGATGCGTTGAATGAAAAATGTTGGTTTTATTTCAGAATGTCTTAGTGTTTGTTTGATCTTTTCCTGTACTTATGTAACATCTATTATTTTATCCTGCTTTGTATGAATTTCTAGTGTAAATTTGGGTTGTAATATCTCTGAAAATGTAAATAAAAACATTTCTTAAAATGCCTGGCAATAGTAATCCCTCGTGTAAAATTATTATATTTCATTATTTCTGCTTTATTTTATATTCATTTGCAATACAATCCACATTTGGTCTCTTAGTACTCACATTTCTTTTCTGGGTGTGATGAATATATTTCTTGTCTGCCACAGTTCAGTGTTGAGAAGTTCTAACACATAGGAAATAAGATACTTTCTGAAAATTTAACTTGGTCTTCCATTTTTGATTTCTGACTTGTACTGCAACTACTGAAACTCTTTAATCGTAAAATTGAAACTGCAATTAAAGTTTAGAGACCTGCTGTATAGAATCATAGAATCATAGAATGAAAGATCTGCTGTATGTTAGTCTCTGACTAACACTGGCAGTCAGTATAAAACTTGAGAGGTTTATGTCTCATTTTCATACATTATTTTTCTTGGTTTTCCTTTTATTTTTTATCAGAAGTCTTTGAACTGAGTCTTTGAAGTTGAATTCTAACTGCAAATATTTTTCTAGCAATTTGACTTACAGTTCTGACAAGCTGTCCTGTGAAAGTAGCCTACACCAGATTTGGCCCCAAGTGTATCCGGAAGAGAGAGCAAGCAGTGTGTACTCTCTTTGGGCAGGAAACTAATTCTAGGTAATTTTAAAATAACATTAATCATAGCTAAAAGCTTTTGCTGACAATGGGTTATGGCTTGGAGTAAGTATTTATTTCTTCATCAGTAGTTTTGGTTTTCTGACAGATTTACCAGCAGTGCAAAAGCTTGCATATACCTTTTCCTGGAGACAAAATCCTCTTATTTAGGAAGTGTGTTTCCAGTCCTCATGTGCTGCTCTATAATATCATAGAATAGAATCATAGAATGGTTTGGGTTGGAAGTGACCTTAAAGATCATCTAGTTCCAACCCCCCTGCCATCAGCAGGGACACCTTCCACTAGACCAGGTTGCTCAAAGCCTCGTCCACCCTGGCCTTAAAAACTTCCAAG